CTATTGCTTTCGATCTTGAGGTAGTACCTATAGCACTTAGAAAGGGAGATCGAACCTGTACAAAACATCTTATTGCTAAATATGTGTCTTACCAAGGCAGAAGAAAACGGTAGGATGCAAATGGGTGCTTACAGTTAAGTGTAGAGCTGATGGAAGTATAGAAAGGTATAAGGCGCATTAGTGGCAAAATGATTTACGGTATTGATTACTAGGAGACTTTTGCTCTAGAGATTAATTCAATCCGTGTCTTACTATCCTTAGCAGTTAGTCTTGACTGGCCATTACACCAGCTAGATGTAAAAAAACTCATTCTTAAACGGCGATTTGGAAGAGGAAGTCTTTATGAGCCTACCACTAGGGTTTGAAGAACGTCTTGGTGAAGGGAAAGTGTGTAGACTAAGAAAATCTCTGTATGGCCTCAGCCTCAAACAATCTCCCAGAGTATGGTTTGAGTGATTTGGGAAAGCTGTAAAGGGCCACGGATATACATAAAGTCAAGCAGATCACACTATGTTCTATAAGCACTCAAAAGAAGGAAAGATTGCTATTTTGATTGTTTATGTTGATGATATAATATTTAACAGGTGATGTGATTGTTTATGTTGATGATATAATATTAACAGGTGATTATCATGTTGAGCTTAAAAGACTCAAGAGAGTTCTTGCTGATGACTTTGAGATCAAGGACTTGGGAGCCTTTAAGGTATTTTCTTGGAATGGAGCTTGCCAGGTCTAAAAAGGGCATCTTTGTGTCTCAACGAAAATATGTGCTGGATCTTCTTGGAGAGACAGGTTTACTCGGTTGCAAGGCAGCAGAGACACCAATTGAACCTAATTTGAAGCTCCAATCTGCTAAACCCGAAAATGTGAAGAACATGGAACAATTTCAGAGGCTAGTTGGTAGACTGATTAATCTGTCCCATGCTCGCCTAGATATAGCTTTTGCAGTGAGCATGGTAAGTCAATTTATGCACTCACCAGGTCTAGAACACTTCGAGGCAAGATACTTAAAGGGATCATCAGGGAAGGGCCTGTTGTTTGAAAAGCACGGTCACCTACAAATTGAAGTATATACAGATGCATACTCGGCTGGGAGTATAACCGATAGAAGGTCAACCTCTGGCTACTGTACTTTTGTTGGAGGAAACCTTGTTACTTGGTGTAGTAAAAAGCAAAATGTGGTGGCAAGAAGCAGTGCTGAAGCTGAATTTAGATCAGTTGTCCATGGAATTTGTGAGGTGTTGTGGGTTAAGAGAATCTTAGATGAACTGAAGGTCTTAAGTCCCTCTTCGATAAAGGCATACTGTGATAACAAAGCAACAATCTCAATAGCACATAATTCTGTTCTTCATGATAGAACCAAGCATGTTGAGGTAGACAAAACACTTCATCAAGGAGAAAATAGAGAATGGGCATATTTGTATGACCTATATACCAACTGATGAACAGATTGCAGATGTTCTTACAAAGGGTCTGTGTAAGAAACAATTTGAGAAATTGACGGGCAAGCTGGCTATGGAAGATATCTTCAAATTAGTTTGAGAGGGAGTGTTGGAAAGGAGAATATTCGGTTAAGATTTATTTATGATCTCTAGGGATTGCCTGGCTGTATTTTATGTTTAAATATAGGCCTAGTCAACTCTATAAATAAGGAAAATTAGTTGTATAGTTATTCTGTTCCTTTTTTAGTGCCTTGTATATCCTATAAGTAGTGTATGTGTATATCATTCTCAGTATTAATAAAATACAATTTCACTAAAATAATTCTCTCGTAATTCCTTCTTGTTTAGATATAATGTTGACATAACTTTTTCAAATTTTAAAGGTTAATTGCTTCTCCTCCCTTTCTCTTTCCTCCCCCCTCTCCCATTGAAACAACTTTTACCTTGGAATTTATATCTGGTTTATATCTCCCATTGTCTATTAATTAAATGCTGAAGTATTGTTATGCATTTTCTTTGTTGAACTCCTCAACTCCTGAGCAACCAGCTTCATCAAGTTGCTTATTTAAATCTGCCAGCTTACTATAGCTCTTCAGATCTGCTAGCAGTGCCCCTCGGTCGATTCCTTTCCAAGATGAAGGTGAATCCCTTGCTCGATACATACAACCACTCCGCCATCCTCCCTGCTGTATGACGTAAGCCCACCTGATTCTAGCTCGGTGCTCTGAAGGACGCCACATGCAATCGTCCTTCTCAAACCGACATGCAATTGTTCTTCTCAAACCTCCCTTCCGGCGTTGTCTCGGCTGCAACCTCACCAGTACCCTTCGCCTTTGCGGCATTTTCAGCCATACCCAAAAAATCCCCAGCAAAAGGAGAAGAATGGAATTTGGGCTTGAAACTTTGATACTCTTTAAACCAGACTGGGAAGTCTGTCTAGCGGAGGCGGGCTATTTCCCCTTTTCGGCCCATGTCCAGCTTCTAGGGCGATATGATAGGTATTGGGCTTGATTCCTTTGGGCTAATAATGATGCACAAGAATACTTAATGACAATATCAAGCATATACGAATTCTTACCTCAATTATATGATCTATGAATATGCCCACTCAATGTCATAAGTGTAAACTCACTTGGATACCTCAGATGCTCTCATTGTACATATGATTTAGATGCCATTTAGCCAATAACACTGATCTGATAACACTATTTATTTTGAAATGTTCAGACAAGTACAAAGAGAATGTATTGAGACATCCTCGAGTGTTCTGTATCAACCTCTAGATTTGAATAAAAGATCTTAAATGTGAAATACTTTTACAAATCAAAATGTGGGACACAAAGCAATGTTGATAGTTCATCTGCTTGGCTAGTTCATAGATCTTTGGGCTAGTTCATAGATCTTTGGGCTTCGATTATTGACATTCGTATTAAATGTTGTTGCTCATTGTCCTGTGGCATGTTAAGTAATTTTAATTTATACATTTCTGAAATGATGGAATGGGAGTCGTTTGGACTATTATGAAGAATAATGATGAAACTGACAAACAGGTATAGTAGTGTTGGTGTTACTAGAAAACCTTAAAGTTCTATATGCTGAGCTCCTTTTTTTTTTGGAATTATGGTTGGGTTTGTACATCTGTAGAGAATCTCTTGTTTTTTTATTTTTTTTGATAGCTTGAGGGTACAATGGTTTTTGGCTTTATGTGCAGTTGTATTTGGGATGTGCTCCCCTTTTGAGAACTCTTCCATAAATACTTTACTTATCAAGAAAGAAAAGGAAAAAAAAAAAAAAGAAAAAGAAAGAAGAAGAAATAATTTTAACAGTATATACTGAAAGCTGACTATTAGAATCATATGGTCAGCTACCTGTTCGGTATGATGAGTTTTGATAGTGGGAAAGGGCTAGACCAGTGCATGAGGCTCCTACCGTTGCGGAGTTTAGGAAGGGTCAGATGTACGCAGCCTTACCTTCATATGCGGAGAGTGGCTGTTTCCTTGGTTCGAACCCATGATCTCCAAGTCATAATGGAGCAACCTTACTATTTCATCAAGGCCCTCCCTAGTTTTGGTAGTGGGAAAGATTTATCCTATATCAAATGTGTAATTGTAAATAATTGGGTTATAATGAAGAATCTATTCCATTCATTCTATATCATTTTAGCAAGATATATTTCCTTAAGCCTGCAACATGTTATAACTCTCTTTCTCTTAGTTTGTTCCAAATTGGTGCTTAGTTACCTTCTTGGACAACTGATCAAATATCACAAAAGCATGATCAAATATCACAAAAGCATGGATTTATCATTTGCTGAAACTTCCTATAGTGATGTTCCTGCTTTGGAACTTTGTGATTGATTCCATGCTTCTTATTTGGAACATGTAAACTGGTACTACCCTGAGACAGAATTGTGGTTGCATGACACAACCTCGAACTCAGAACTCCTTTTAGTCAACTCAATAAAGCCTTCCCTAACTACTTGGAATCGGTTACATGAGTCCTATTTACGCATTCTGCTCTATCCTTTTACTCATAAAGTAACATCATAAAAAATAGAAAGCAAATACATTCTAATTTTGAAATAGCCACAAGAATGCCCCACTATAATAAATTAATGTACTCTTTTTCAGTCATGCAGATCTAGAAAGAAAGTCACCCTAAATTTTAAATCTTGAAACCTTCCGAAATAGTCAAATGTAAATAAATAAATAATCTTTGAATCATCCTAGATGAATGCTTTTGCAACATAACAGGACCTACTTTCTTCCCACTCCATGCCAATACTGAGTGTTCTTTTCAATAATACCTTATTGGACAACTGATTAGTAATGAGTACTTTGACTACTTTCTACTTGGGGATGTGTATTGTATTGTGAAGAATGTATTTTCTGATGTGCCTTTGTAAATGACATTTATGTGTCACTCACAACCCAACTATACCCTCAAAGTAATTTGAAAAAAAAAACCTTGATAAACTTGGAGCAGGCTTCTCTAACACAATGGAAGGTCAAGTAACATAGTTCTCCTTTGTAAACATGAGCTATTTCATTATTTGTGTATTTAATTAATACTCCTTTTGCATAATTTCATGCCATCAGATTGATTGGTGATGTTGGTTTTCCGTTAAGCTTAGATATTCAGTACTGATGATTTCTCCTCTTGAAATCAAACCTTTTAAGTTGGATCACTTTTCGTTTAGTTATGGAATTTTTGAAGTTGATATACTCTCAATGCTATGGTTGTGTGTTTTTGGACAAGCAATCAAATTCCTGGTGATGACTGGGTTCTTTCTTCGATCATATATATTTGAATAAAATTGCAACTTAATATATGTAGTGTACCAAGTAGTCTTTTCGACAGGGTTTCCACACCCTGGACTTATGTTCTTTTGCAATCCTCTCTGTCTATGCTAGAAAAATGAGCAAGTAATGTGGTGCTAGCTTTCCTATTGAATATTGTTTTCATATTTCTTGCCTTAAATATGTTAAATTTGGGTTTGTTATTTCATATTTTAAATGTCACTGTCCAATGCTTATTGTGCACTCCATTTGATTGCAGTGACAATGGTGGATCAGATGACAAATATAACGATGTGAATAAAAGTTGTTCCTGCAGCATAATGTAGTTTGGGCTTTTATTGGAATATTTTATGGGCTCAGCTTGTATTAAAGGGTGATGAAGGAGGCATCAATGAACAGGGCCTCAATGAATGAGGCGTCCAGTGAGTGACCACTGACAAAGCTTGGATTGTTTCTTTGTTGTTTTGCTGAAGTTTGGATTTAGGAAAAGTAGAATTTTGAGTGCATAAAAATTGTGCCCTTCACAAGAATTCTTATCCGCACTGCCTTCACCAGACTGATCAATTCTGTTTATATTCCGTAGATTGGGATTTAAATTTTGTCGCTCTGGGCTTTGCTATACTTGTTTCTTTCTGTTATTCATCTTTTAACACAACTGCATTGTCCATTATTTCATTATAAGTAATATGTTATTTTGAATTCTGTTTTGTCATTTGAATTTAACATATTCCCTTTTTTTTTGTTCTTATCCTTAGAAAATATAGGGGCAAACTTTTACATTTTAGCTTATATGGAGCCTAACAACATAGAATGAAGCTACGTACGCGAAGCTGATTCTCAAATATCTATGGCTAAGATATTATGGATTTGTAGAAATGGTGGCACAATTGGGAGACATGCAGTTGCAACTCGTTGCATCCATCAAGGTTTTTGGCGTATCCATCTCTACTCAGGTAAGATATTTATCTCAATAAGTTCTTAGCAAGACTTTTGAGAGTTGTTTAAGATATACCTTGTTGAAGATTATCTGGTGAAAAAGCACTCGTGATAGGAAGATTTCGGCCTTGGTGATGTGAATCTTATTTTACTACAACAGTCCTAGTATATTCAAAAGTAGTGACTAGCTGCTGTATTGGTTGCGTACATAGGGTGAATGGGTGATGCAGATTATATTCTAAGTACATATTACTAACTCATAGCCAGCATGATAGTGGTAAGTTAACGACAATTGTTCAACTAAATTGCCAGTGCTTTAAGGTCAGAATTATGATACTGCAGAAGCAGAGCATGTGTTGTTCTTATGTTGTAGCTATTAGGAACTTTTGACTATTTTCACCAAGTATTGTGTAAATGCAGACAAAATCTCGTATGCATGCCAATCTTTGTGCTTTTCCTTGTGTTCTAAAATTGTGTCCAAGGGGCATTACACGAGGATAATGAAACTTGTTACTACCTTAACAACCTTGCTAAAGTGGAGATTGAGCTCAGCTGAGATCCTCCATGCGGCATGTTATGCATTGGATGGCTCAGATCATTTCTTGCACTATGACATGAATTGATCAGTACAGTGGGCGTGCTGTACTGTATTATACTGTGAGGATCTTGGTTCCTTGGCCTCCGGGGTGAGTACTACCATTGCTTTCACTTTGGGGCACATTGTTAAAGGAGAAGAACCTAAATCTTTTCAACTTTTTATGGATGATAATGAAAATTTGGTCACAATACATGAACCGAGCTTAATATAATGTAATAAGTACATGTTTTGGGAGTATTACCATCTAACGTAAATGGTTGAGCTCTCAGTTTCCCGAACAGATGTGCTCGTGTTCGAGTCTTCCCTCCTTCTATTTTGTTAGGAAAGTACATGGTTTTGGACTCATTCAATGCATCATAGGATTATACTTCCCTAGTACATGGTTTTGGACTCATTCAGTGCATCATAGGATTATACTTCCCTAGATTAGCAGCAGCTTTAATTTGTTGGTACTTGTGGAAGGGTAGGAAGGGAAATATTTTCAATTCTAAATTCTAGAAGGTTGAGCATATTGTACCTTTATCTCTTAGTCAGTTCATGGTGTTGGGATTTATATGTCCTGACATAACAAATTCCTGTTTGGATTAAAGTGACATGTTCCTGACGTATTTGAAATATTTATGCTTTATATAATTGGTGAATTCAATGTATTAGGTTTCGATTCATTATGGAATTGATAGTGTCTGTTTGATTACAAGAGATATTTACATATATGTATGTGATGACGATCAATACATGAATATATAAATAGTAATTATAAATGGTTTATAGTCGGTAATTATGGATGGACTCATAATTAGTTAAGACTTGAACTGAATCCGAGTTAGGTTGAGATATATTGCGAGAGCCGTTGTATGTAATTGCTCCCTATCACTGTCATGGTATTTAACTCTTAAGTATGAGAGAAGTATAAACTCTTTTATTAATTAATAACTACTTTAATTTGTTCGGCGGATACTTCGGGATCCTTAGACTGACACTTTGGGTAGTTATGTAATTAATAGTTAGAGGGTTATATTCTCAATATTTGCATCAATGCTACTTATATTTATTTTGTATTGATTGTGGTTGATCACAAATTAAATTCGAAGGTCTTCGTGTGTTTTTAGACAAAATGATTTATTATATATTTATTTATTTAAATTATTATTTTTGTCAAATAAATATTTTATTGTGATCGAGTCAGAAATAATCAAAGGTAGCAAAATAAATATATTAATTAAGTAGTCGGATTGATGGTTTTATTTATTCGATAACTAATTATGCATAGAGGGGTTAAAGTGCAACATTGGCTCAGAGGTTATTTATTATTTAATTGGAGTTCAATTAATTTCTTTTAGTGGAGTATAAATTAATTAATGAATTAATTAGGTCTATGGACCGAGTTAATTATTAATTCATTGTAGCCAAGAAAATAATAAGTCCAAAGGATTCTCACTAATAACCCAACTTGATATTGGAATCCTATTAGATTTGAGACATGTGAATTAGAGATTGAAAAGAATTTATTGTTTCATTTTCCTTATCATTATGTTGCCTATATATACTGTAATACCCCTAATTTTGAAAGGATAGTCTCAGTATTATTTAAATTATTTTAATTGCGTTTTAATTATGGCTAATTGTTTACTTGTTTAATTAATTTAATTATTTGTTTATGTGTTAATTGAATTGGTTGTTTAAATTAAATGGTGTGCTAAAATTATGTATATTTGACTTATTTGTTTAAATTAAATTATATATGATGATGTGTATTTGTTTGGGAATTTAATATATTGTAGTTACCTTTTTAGTATTTAAATTTTAGTTTATTTTTATTATTAGTTTGACTTGGATTGGGAAAAGGAGTTTTGGGTTATTTTAGTTGCCTATAAATATATAACTATAGGGTTGTAAAAGGGGTTAGAACATAAATCACATAATATATTCTAGAGGGAGAAAGAAGGAAGACGAAGGAAGAGAAAAAGGAAGAAGGAGGCTAGGGTTTTTATCAAATCCCTAAAAGCAAGTTCTAATTCTTCTCTTCTCCTTTGATTCATACCCTATGCATGCTAGATTAATTCCAGGTTTATTAAATAAATTAATTGGATCTATTTATATAGATTTATTTGAAAATTAATAATGAGTTTGTGATAAATTTTCATATTTTGATAAATTAAATTTTCATGTGCTGTTATATATCATGATTTTAGTATGAAGCGGTTTGTATATATAAACTAGATTAGATTAAAGTTGTTCATATATGGTCTGCGCGCGGAACGAAAAATGCTCCAATTGAATCAGTTTGGTGTTTATATATGAAATCAGTTTTGGGTATTTGTATAAATCAATTTTGTCTTCATACACGCCGAACGATGTACAATTACTTTTAAGGAAAAAGGTTGTTATAAAATAATAATGGAAGTTTGTTTTTCCTTACAAAACATGCACGTCGAATGAGGAGACCCATGATGATATTGCTTTACGGAATATATATAAAATAAGCTTCCTAGAATCAGTTCCTAGAATCAGTTTGTGTTGTGAAATTCGTAACTTGTTCTTTATATGTGGGCACGTGGAACGAGAAAGGAGAAAAAGTAAATAAATGTTTTTCTTTAATGGGATTGCATGGAATATTTAAGCAAATTATTTTTAATTATTCTGTATGTGTTCTCTTTTGATTTTGTTTTGATTAGATGTGTTTACATTTAATATTTTTAACTGTAAGTCTGATTAAATGCTAAGATATTAAATTAATATTGTGGTTTTTGGTTGATGGATCGATAATAAATATTTATTTAATGTAAGTAGATTCATTAAGAATTGGAATCCATGATTTAAGTTTACATGCTAAGCATGGAATTTAATTAATTTTAAAAGGATAAATTAATTAAATATTCTTGGATTAAATTATTTTAATCAATTGTTTAGATTTAAATTAATTTAATCAGAATATGGAGATGAACAATTTAGTTGAGATGCATGTTAATTTCTTGTGATGTAAATTAAATGCATGCTAATTAGAATTGATATTTTTGTTCAAATAAATGCAAAAGATATATATATGATTTATATCATGTTTATTTGAATTATTAGATGTAAATATTATTTACATTATCCTTGGATCGGAAACTTTTATTTGGTTATAATATGGATTAATGCACCATTATGGGATGGGGGCATATTAGGGACGGATTAACTTAAGAGTTAAGTCCTACCTATTTTTAATAAGGGAACGGATTAACCACAGTGTTAAGTCCTACTTATTCGTGTCAGGTCAACGGAACAGTTGGATGACATGGTTGGATATGACGGATTTTACATATATAATAATACACCATGATATGAGCTTGAGTCTCAGGATCAGTGGTTAGGATGCGTATATTGCCAGGGATGTGTAGCTAGATATAGTGTAGTTGTGTACCCTGGTAGGTCTAGGTACTCATGCCCACTATAGGTGCGTTTTGCATGTTACCTACTATTCAGGTTGAGACAACTCTATAGTCTAGTGAGGTTCCTTTAGTGTGTATATATCTATGTATGGAGTATTTAGTTATTGTTGAATTAATTAGGATGCGTACGTGTATCGGGTCTCTGTTTGGGATGCAGTAGATTAGAACTTGTATGTGGGCCTGACCCACCATTATTTTTCAGGTGTTCGTCAGTTCCAGTCTTAGAGATTGTTCGTGCCGAGCAGAGACATCCATTCACTCTTCCGACTCTACGTAGGACTCCTCTTCATTAGTTACTTACTATTTTTATTTCGGTTCGGTTATTTCAGTTAAAATATTATTAGGGGTCCACAATATGGATTCCCGAGTTGTAGTTTAATTAATTACTGATATCAGAGGATTGGAGGATTTTAGTATGGGATTTTTAATTATCATTTATTTGAGGATTTTTTTTAAATGAGAATTATTTATTTAGTTTTCTTTTCAGCTTCTTTATTTATTCTTAATTCATCTTGTATTCCAATGCTTGTTTAAATATTAATTGTTTGATATCCCTTGTATTATGTGCTCGGACTTGATCACCTGTGGCTCTAGAATCGAGGGGTATCACATATACATGGTCTATGTATATTTTAGGGGAGATTTTTGGAAGAAGGAAAAAAAATAATATATTTTCTCTCTCTAAAAATTAAGGTTTATGTTCTTATCTAATGGAGGCTCCCACAAGCTTAGTTTTCCAAGGTCCTTCATGGAGGCTTATGGGTGATTCCTAAAGCCAAAACTATTACAAAGATAATGGAGATCCAAGAAGAAGGCATCTAGGAAAGAGATTTACAATAAGTGAGAACATTCACTTTAGAGGAAAGACCTAAGGTTTACTCAAACCTTTGATGTAAGTATTCAATCTATTAATTCAAATGATATATCATATTTTATTTTTGTATAAAACTTGTTTTCATGTGATGAATCAAGATTTATGTATGAAAATCTCTTAGAAAGTTTTTAAAACTTGTACGTTTTTCAACAGTGGTATCAGAGCATGGTTTGATTCATTACTAGAGATCATGTTTTTATCAAAATCATCATTCATGGATCCTAAAATATATTCATATATATTTTTTATTGATGTATGTTGATGTATGATTTAATATGTTGATATCTATTGATACATGATGATATATGTATAATTGTGAATAAATGATGATGTATGGTTGGGTCATGGATGAAGCTTATAGGTTATTGAATGTAATTTTATCTTTGGATGAATGTAATTTGATAAACGCCGAATATTGCATATTTAAGCGCCCTTATTTGCATTAGTTAAGTCCATTATTTGATTATTTTATATAGATTATCTTTATTTGCATGTTTTATATATTTTCAGGTTTGTTTCCCAAAAAGGAATAAAAATGATATTTTGATGAGTTCTTGAATATCAAAGTGTGAAATGCTGAAGCTTATAACCTGCCAGCAGTGGAGTTCAACTTTGCTCGTCAGTTTTGACCCAACAAACTTGAAAACTGGACTTCCATTAAAACATGGCATACTTAGAGCTTTGAATTAGCTTTCCAAATCATCAAACGGTTCTTCATTTGGAGTTCGGAGCAAAGAGTTATGGTCTTTTAACCAAAGGTGCGCAGAACAGCCTGGCAACAGTGAAGTTCGTCTTTGCTCTTCATTTTAGACCCACCAAACTTGAAAACTGGACTTCCATTAAAACATGACGTACTTAGAGCTTTGAGTTAGTTTTCCAAATCATCAAACAGTTCGTCATTTGGAGTTCGGAGTAGGGAGTTATGGCCGTTTTACCAAAGGTGCGCAGAGTTGAGGAACATCTACGAGCGCCTGCCAAAATGGGCAGCGAGCTCGTGTGCACGCGGGCGCCCGCCGATTTGCAGAGATCTGCTCACCCACTCCATGATTTTTGCTTAAATTTGTCCCCTTTGACTGAATGAATGGCTAGGCTTCCTTCTAGGGATTTCTAAGCCACGAATTGGGGGAGATAGATAAGATTTTTAAGATATACTTGGTGGCTTGATTTTTAAGATATCTCTCATTTTTTGTAAGGTTCTAGAGAGAGAAAGGAGTGTTCTTGAGAGCTTGGCTTGTGGGTGTTCCTAGGTGCGAAAATGGAAGGATTGACCATCTCTTCTCCTTCCTCCATTGCTTCTATGGGTAACTAATTCTCTTCCTGGGGAGTTGATGTAACCCTTGTCAAGTAAATATGTTTTAATTGTGTTTATATTTGGGGAACTTTGCATATATGTGACAAGTTGTATAATCTAGAGATACATTTTGATGTGTTTGTGTTTTATTCCATATTTAATCTTGTCGAGACTTTTATTTTTGACTTAGAAATTGTTTCTTCATGATTATGCTACTTACATCTTTCTAGTGAGAATGAAGATGAGATTATACAATGGTTTTATTGACATGTTGTATGGAAATTTGGACAGTCCATGGCTTAGGGAAACCTTAGATGGATTATGGCTTAGTTTTTGACTTCATGTGCACTCACCACACAAATTGAGGACTTTGATAGTTCATAAATTAGGAAGGATATTTCATGCTATACCCTAGTTTAGATAGATGAATTATACCAACCTTTGATGGATTATACTTAATTCTTGAATGTGTGAACTTCTTGAAGATATTGTAGTTGTCTTGCATTTCTACATATCATGGTTACATGTATATTTTGTTCCCTAAGTTAATTGTAATTAGGCATGTTTATATGGCTTGTGGTGAAGTCAATTCCCTAGTCTTTCCCACACTCTCATTACTTGAAATTCAAATTAAATATTTTTAGTTAATTTCAGTTTATGTATGTGACAAACAACCCAATCCAAAAACTATCTTTCATAAATCAAACCGTAAATTAATCTTACAAGCTTGATTGCCATAAGCTAGCATTTCTTGTGGTTCGACTTACTCAACCAATGGCCCTATTTTACAATGATTTGTGCTATTGCAAAGGGTTGATTTATAATTGTAATCGATCCGTCGATCATAATTAAGGCTTTCATTTAGCCGTTTGAAAGTTCAATGATATAATTTAATTTTTTTCATTATATTTTAAATTGTAAATTTATTTAAAGCCATGTAATCTTCATCAAATGATGCTATGAAACTTCAAGAAGGTCCAAAAGGGTTAAATTAGGCTTCAGAATTTTTTTGAATTTTTTCGGAATTATTTTGGAATTTTTTGGGCTTAATTTAATTTTCTGGGAATTTTTTATTATTTTTCTGGAATTATCGACAATTTTTCGGTGACCGGAGCATCGCCGGCGGCGAAGGTGGCGCCGGAAAGGAGACGGCCAATCTGGTGCTTCGCGGTGCACCAAAATAATGTGTAAGCGCATGCGCAGCCGTAGGATCAATGATCAAAGGAGGATATGATCCAGTGTAGCGCACCTTTAGCATGCTACACACGCCAACCAGTCACAAGGCGTGTGATGCTCACGCACGGATACAGTCGGCGCCAAATGGAGCATGCTAGCGCATGGAACGCGCTGGCAACTTGCCCACGCCCGTGTAGGCGCGTGGGAACGCGTGACACGCGCAGCAACATCCCACCAGCGCGTGCAGACGCGTAGGAGCGCGTGACACACGCTGGAAAGCTTCCCTGGCGCGTGCAGGCGCGTCAGATGCACGTAGGGTCGTCCGATGGTGTCTAATAGCACGTGGGGTCAGCGTACAAGCCTCTGCAGGTGTTCACAAGCCTTTGATTGACTCTCGGGAAATACTTAGAGCAATTAAATGTTAAAAGTTAAATCCATTGGCCATTTAATTTACTTTATCTGTCATTCATTTATGTATGTGATACATGGAATAATTAATTACTAATTATTATTGTTCATGCATTGGATCCATGATTTTTTATCTAAACGACTTGATTTATATTAATTAAATTATGAAAATTAATTGGATTTGATTACTAATTAATTAGAGGGCACTTATTGGGAAACGAAAAATTATTTTTATAAATTATTTTAAAAGTGTGCCTCAAATTAAATATTAGTGAATCATTTAAAAGTCCCGATATTTTCTAAATCTAATTGGATTAAAATCAAGGCATTTTGCATGTATTAAATCATGAATTGAAAACTCTAATTGCAAATAATTAAAAATTGAGTGGGAGCGGGGATTTTTATACATTACCCCATAGCCTTCGTTATTATAACCATTGTAATTAGATTTTAAAAAATAAGACCCCACGCATGATTTGAAGAGTCTTAATATTACAAGAATGGTTGTCTCATGAAAATGAAAATAAAAATATTAAATATTCATTGTAATTAGATCTTTAAAAATAAGGCTTTACGCATGATTTAAATAGTCTAGATTATAATAACAAGATATTTAATGTTTTATTTTTCATTGGAGCATTAATAACGTTATATATTCAATCTAAAATCAATAGTGTTAGCCCCCCAACGGAGTGGTCTACACTAGGTGATTTTAGAAAGGCTAAACATAATCGGGAATCATTTTATATAGATAGATAAAGCATTGCCTTAAGAGATATGGAAATGATGGGATTTGCCCGTCAATAGTTATAATGAATTTCGCCAACCGAATAAGTTATTGGCGTATTGGTTATCCGATTTTTCATGCAGTGGTTAATGGACCCACAGATTTTGTAATGGAAGTACTCGCTTAATAGTAGATGAATCTTAACAATAGTAATAATGAACTCCTCTATCAAGATAAGTTATTGACATATTGATTGTGTGATTTATTATGCAACGAAATTGAGGGACCCACATTAATTAAAAATGATTGCTTACCAATAGTGATAATGAATTCCTATACTATTGAGATTTATTATACTATGTGGTTGACAAACTCATTTTAATTTTAAATATGCATGATATTATTAATAATTCACTTTACATATTGTATGAACGCATTTATATTCAGATTTATTATTTATAATCCATTTTATCTGCTTGCTAACATATTCAATGCAACTAGACCTTTTTTAATATGGACTGGATAAGGAACTTAGATATTTTATTCACAACGTAAGGGTACAAATGTATTTACTACTCCTAAGCCTGATCTTTTTACTTTAAGTTAACCGAGACAACATTAATGCTTTTAATAAATGAAATAAGGCAAATAATATGTCTTGGTACAATATTCTAGAGTTTATCTCGAATACGCTCTAAAGCTAACATTTACATTATTTTATTTTCTTCAAGCATCATGTTAAATGTCATTGAGATGTTTTTGTGAGATTAGATAGAGTATATGCTTAAGTACTGTGTCAAATTTAAACACCATCAAGATAGCCTAAGGATCTTCAGTAAAAGATCGAATTTTTTTAATGATTGTTTATTATCTAAAAATTAAACTGGAGGTCAATATGGCTGACTTGGGTGGTAAGTTTCAAGTTGACATGATTATTGCCTTGTTACCAAACTCATTTGACTTTTTTAAAAGTGAACTACATAAGGAATCAGTTTGAGTTCACACTCGTTAATATCCTTATAGAGTTGGTAACATATGAAGGAATAATCAAAAGTATAGGCGTTCCTATCAATCTAACCTAGTCTATACCATCTTCTTCTAGGCCCAAATGG